TGAAGAAACTGAAAATGGAGAATATAACCTAAACTTGAGGAAGAATACCTTTTGCCCGCCGGAAGTTTCAGAGATGTTACCAAAGTTGACGGAGCACGCCGAAAAATGCAGGAAGAGAAAATGTAAGAGTTCTTGAGAGCAATATGAAATTTTCGCGGAAGTAAAAGCTTCGAAATGAAGAGAATTGGCCTTTTATAGGAGTTTTGAATTCGTCCCAACCGTTAGATCATCCAAATCACATCTGGACTGTCCAAGGATGAAGCACAGTGATCTCCATTAAAGCCAAAGGTTATTTGAATTAACGGCCCTGAGAAGCGGTAAGCTACACGCTCGATCCAAACACGTCGCTTTGAGGAACGAACGCCGTCACTATCATTACCATTTATGGCAAGGGAGGCTTGTCTTGGAAGCAAGCAAGCTCCCCCATGATTACCTTGGGAAGACGCGAAAGCCTTCAAATCATGGACACAAAATCCAAGACTACCCTTCCAGAGCCCATCAATCCGTTCTCCTATCACTTCGGCCACAACAGCTTCGCGTTACAACAGCTCTCCACTAACCCCTATCGCTTCGGACACAACAGCTTCGCGTTGCAACAGCTCTCCACAGAGCGCCAACCTATATCACTTCGGCCAGAGCAGAATCCGATGTTGCAATAACTCCTGCTAGAGTTGCCAACTCTTATCGCTTCAGCCACAATAGCTTCGCATTGCAACAGCTCTCTACAGAGTTTCCAACCCCTATCACTTCGGACAAAATAGCTTCGCGTTGCAATAGCTCTCCACAGAGCTGCCAACCTATATTACTTCGGCTAGAGCAGAATCCGATGTTGCAACAACTTCCGCTAGAGTTGTCAACTCCTATCGCTTCAACCACAACAGCTTCACGTTGCAACGACTCTCCATAGAGTTGCCAACCCCTATCGCTTCGGACACAATAGCCTCGCGTTGCAACAGCTCTCCACAGAGTTACCAACCCATATCACTTCGGCCAGAGTAGGCTCCAATGCCACGCCAAAGAATCCCCAATTGAACATGCGGAACTGAAAGTCCTTGTACTATATAAATATCCATATATAGGCTTGCGGGACTACTGTTACGTGTTTGTGTCAGATCAGCCGCCTCACCCTTCAAGTGTCATCAGAGGTGGCCCGCACCAAGCTACACGTCGAACGAAGTGATTGCTCATGGGACGAGCTGACTACATATGCTGAATGATCCCAAAAGAACACATTGAATAGGCGTCAGCAAACGAACCGGACTCATCCACAGACATATCGTGGATACAAAGGCCTGCACTTCGCTTCTACAACACCGCAACGCCTCCCCTATCTCTCCCGCCTTATCGAAAATCTCTTGTACAAAGATCTTTTCAAAATCAAACCACTGACGGTCAAATCAGCTGCTTCTGTCAGAAACATTCAATGCCGCCAACCTACGGAGGGACGGATTGATACGTAGGATATGACGAGCCCTGAGGATCTGGCAACATGTGTCTCCTCACCAACGACTCTCCTCTTCCCATACTTAGTATAA